AGAGCAAAGCAGAGCACAGCAAAGCAAAGCAAAGCAAAGCAAAGCAAAGCAAAGCAAAGCAAAGCAAAGCAAAGCAAAGCAAAGCAAAGCAAAGCAAAGCAAAGCAAAGCAAAGCAAAGCAAAGCAAAGTGTTCGAGTCCTGTCAAGCTCACACACTTTTGACCGCTTTTCATCACGCCTTTTTATCACGACCAATTAAGGCAATGTTTAGTCATCATGTGACATCAGCATGCGACACTAGTCAAGGCACCCAGTGCAGCACCCAGCAGTAATGCCACGCCCGGACCTGCGGTTGACACACAAAGCAGGCGGCATATCTAGAGCTGGCAGAGCGGCTGTGCGCCAGTCGCAACAACCCCAATGCGTTAGCAGCCGTGGCGTTCGAGCCAGCGTGACACTGCTGCCTGCTGCTTCAAGCCGCGTTTGGACGGGCGGGCTGACCCAGCCGGCTCGGGTCCGGCCTCAACAACCCGCCACAGCCGCTCCAGATTGAAGGGGTGGGACCCGTACAGCCCTGCTGTTGGCCTTCGCCGCCCGGGTGGCGGGCGCCCCGCGCAGCGATGCTTGCTCGCTCCTTTGCATTGTTGTTTTTGTTCGCGTATTTTGTCTGGTTTTTCCCTCCATCTCACCAGCGTCCTGCACATTTTCACCAGTGATGTCACATCTCACCGTTTCCCCACCTATCAGCGCAGCTTTTTGCTCCCCACTGTTTGGCGTGCAACACACGCCGGTCGATGGGCCCGCCACCCCTGCGGTCGCTGCCTGCGGCCTGGGGGTGGCAGGGGGCCCCGGGCAAAAAACCCTGCAGAGTCATGCCCTTGCTACCATGGGGCGCCGCGCGGGGGAAGGGGTGCGTCCCGCGTGCACGTACTACCGCTGCTGCGGGCGATCAAACCTGCGAAGCAGAGCGTAGTGCATGCGCACAGCAGCAGCCTCAGGGTCCTGTTGCTACCTTGCTCCTCTGTAGATGGTGCTTTGCTGCTCTGAGGGTTTGAGTACGGCGCACACTCTGGGTGCACAAGTCAACGTCGTTCGGCATGGACGCTCATTATATAATGAGAACAGGAGCTGTGAAACCAGCCTCCACAGAAGTGGCCTCTGCAACCTCGTTTTGCCTTACAAAGGATGCCTTACAGTCATGGGATGCATTTACAGCAACGTGCAAATAGCGCTGCAGGGCGCAGAGGGAGGCAGGATGACCAGGATTGCCAGATACACGATAGACTAACAACAGTGAACTCACAAAACACAACCAAAATTTGCCGACAAGCCAAGCGTGCGCCGAGACCGTGGCAGCTGCCATGAACAGCACCCAGCTACTCAGCACCGGCGCGCTCCGCCTCTCACCCCTTGGACCCGCGACCGCCGCCGCCGCGGCCGCCGCCGCCGCCGTCCGCCCCCACCGCGGCCAGCCCCGCCTCACTCCTCCTCCTCGTCCTCGGGCACCGCGACTGCCGCGCACTGCTTGGGCGCAATGCCCGCGAACGCGGGGTCCTTGATCCTGAACACCTTGTCAAGCACCTCCTCTATGGCGCGGTCAGGGGTGGACGCGCCGCTGGTGATCCCGATGGTGACGGGGCCGTCGCCCAGCCAGTTTGTGGTCTCCTTGAGCTCCCCCCAGCCGGTCTTGTGCAGCAGCTTGTTGCCGGCGACGTCGATGCGCGCGGCGGAGTCCACCCAGAAGGAGGGGATGCCCTTGTGCTCCGCGATTTCCTGCAGAGTCGAGCGGCGCGGGTGGGCGTGGGTTGAGCGAAGTTGCAGCGGGGTTGTGAGGTCATCTGTAACACGCAAAGAGGACAGGGACAAAAGCCAGATGTGCCAAGCTGGGGACAGCTGCACACCATATCGCCCCTGCAGCTGCTGCCCAGCTGATGTCTGTCTGCCGTGCACCCCAGCGGGCAGCTGCTGCCTCCAGGCCCCCATCACCGACATGGCCCCGCTTGTTGTACGCCCTCGCTTGCTGCCCCTCGCCCTGCAATCGCACCTGCAGGTGGCTGGTGTTGCTGCTGTTGAAGCCGCCGACCACAATCATCAAGTCGATGGATTTGTCGTCGGTGATCTCGTACAACGCGTCTTGCCGCTCCTGCAGGTGGATAGGCAAGACAGGAGGGCAAAGGCTAGCGTTTGAAAACGACAGGGCCGCCACCAGGGCTGAAGATTATGGGCTGGTGTGGCTGCATCACTGCGTGCCCGCCATGCTGCTCGTTGCCGATGAGGCCCAAAGTTGAGGCGCCGCACGCCCCCAAACAAATTTTGCACGGCCTTGCTTGTGTTGCTTGCCCAACTCTCACTTTGAATTGATGCCAGTGCCCAAGCCCCCAGATTCCCGCACCCCTCCATGTCACCCCACCAGCGCAAATGGCTTGACTCGGCCTTGCAACCATCGAACTCTTGTCCCCCCCCCACACACAAAAACAGCTCTGCTGCTCAAGATATGCACGCCCTCGCACCCCCACCTGTGTGGCGTCACAGATGGTGTCCATAAGCATGAAGTGCTCGGCCAGGGCCGAGGGGCCGTACTTGGACAGCATGGTGCGCTCAAACATCTTGCCCATCTCCTGGGTGTCACCCTTGAGCATCGTGGTCTGTTGGGTGGGGTGTTTGTGCGCATGCATGGTGATGGGGGAGATGAAAGTTACGAAAACACAAGTGAGCATGCACTGCTGGAGGGCCAGGCGTGCCCGGCACAGCATCACTGCTTGCCACTCCGTAAACCAAAACGCCACAGCTCTCCCCCGCTCGGATGGCCTGAACGCCCCCTCCAGGCGCACTACCCTTGCCCCCACGCCTCTCGCCTGGTTTGCGAGCCCCACGCGCTGCAGGTCCTTCTCTGGGTCAAAGCCGGGGCTGATGGCCTTCTTGAACTTGGCCAGGAACTCCTCCTTGTCGCCGCCCTTCAGGATGTACTCGCATACGTAGCTGGGGTTGAGG